CAGAGTGGACAGTCGTCCCCAGGCTTTTGAGCTGGGAACGACCCTCCATAGGCCTACCACGACATGTGCTCAGAACCAGAAGATGCTCTTATAACAAAGAGAATGCTCTCATAGCATAAAACCGGCATGCCAGAACAAGACAGCCTCGGCCAGAAAAGTTCTAAGAACATCTCGTGCAAACCACAAGAGGCTATCGCAACATTCTTCGGTGGGCCTACAGGAAGGCCAGGACGCTTCGCCACTGCTTGACAGCCTCTCCGTCCCAATTTTTCTCGTGTCGGACGAGAGGGTCACGGGGGGCAGCAGTACAGGGGGCTGCGTCGCGAATCCGCTGACGTAGCTGCTCTTCCCAGCGCCTGACGGCGCCGCAGGCGCGAAGAACTGTCGAGGCAAGCGCCTTGGCTGCGGATCCGAGACCGGCTGCATGCAGCAGACTGCGTACCCGCCCCACCCTTCTCCAGTCTCTTTCCCCGCCCTCGTCCGACCCGAGAGGATCGGGGACGAGAGGATCGAGGACGAGAGGATGCTGGGGATCCCCCCGACGATCGAGGACGAGAGAGTGTCGAGGACGAGAGGATCGGGGCCTGGAGGATCGAGCCGGTCATCCCTTCTCCTCCCCCCTCCCGGCGGGCGGATGCCCCCGCGCGGCGGCGGTGGCGGCCTGCAGCCCCTCCGTCCGCCGCGGCCAGGCTGGCCGCCTGCGGCGCTTGTCGTCGTCGTCGTCGCGGCCCTTCCCCTCTCACCCTCCCGCTCGTCCTCCTACATCCCCCTCCTGCTCCTCCTTCTCCACCTCCTCCTCCTCTTCTCCAGCGACCACCTCCTCCTCCGTCCCCTCCTCCTCCTCCTCCTCCTCCTCCTCCTCCTCCTCCACCTCCTCCTTCCCCTCCTCCGCCTCCTCCTTTGCTCCTCCCTTCTGCTCCTTCGTTCGCATCATCCTCACTTCTCCTCTCTCGTCCTCCCGCTCATGCCTCCTCCTCCTCCTCCTCCTCCTCCTCCTCCTCCTCCCCCGGGCCGTGTTCAACATGTGGCTATCGCCTCAGCGCCGTGCACCTTTGCTTTGAGACATTTGTGAGGAGTCGCACGGAGGGGGCCGTGTTCAGAGAGTTGCTCTCGCCGCAACGCCGCGCGCATTCGTCCTACATATGTGCAAGAGCTTCACGGGTGGAAGGCGAGCCGTGTTCAAAATGTGGCTCTCACCCCCAGCGCCGCGCACCCCTGGCTTGAGAGTATTGTAAAGGTTGCACGGATAAAGGTCGAATGTCAAGGCGTTGCTCCCGCCTCAGCACCGCGCACATTCGTTTGAAAATATGGCAAGAGTATCACGGGTGGAGGGCGGGCGGTTTCCGAAATGCGGCCCTCGCCTCAGCGCCGCGCACATTCGCCGTGAAAGTTCGCAATCATTTCATAGATGGAGGGCGGCTCCTTTTCAAAATGTGGTTCTCGCCTGAACGCCGCGCACATCGGTGCAATAGTTTACAACAAAGTCAAGGCTTCTTATGGCTGGCGTTTCAGAAACTACGCTTTGGCGCGATGTAAGACCGCCAGGACGCAACAGTCACGCTAATGCGTGGTGCTCCAGTCCCAGGAGTTCTGCTCTGGCACGATCGAGGACCGTCAGGACGCAGGAGTAACGTTGAATCGCGGCGTTGAAGTCCTAATGATGGTGCTCTTGCACGGTTCAAGACGTTCAGAGGGTTGTCTTCCAACGGGGAACTTCCTTGACTGAGTATGAATCCCTGTATGGACCTATGACAAACGAGACTTGGAGTGAGGGTGGATTGCAACATCGTTGATGCATCTTGGGTTTGCACTGGTCCTCCTCCTCCTCCGCATTCCTTCCCCTCATCAGCATGATAATTGTGTCTCTTCTCTCCTCCTCCTGCTCCTCCTGCTATTGCTCCTCCTTCTCATGCTCCTCCTCCTCCTCCTCCTCCTCATGCTCCTCATGCTCCTCCTCCTCCTCCTCTTCCTTCTCCTCCTCCTTCCTTCTCCTCACTTATCAGCATTATCCTCGTGTCTCCTCTCCGCCTCCTCCTTCTCCTCCTCTTTCTCCTTATCATCACCATCACCGTCATCAGCATCATCAGCCTCATCCTCCCCCTCCTCCTCCTCATCATCAGAGTCATCATTACCATGGTTATCATCTTTAACATCATCACCAGCATGGTCACTAGCATCGGCACCATTAGTAGCATCATCATTGTCAGCATCAGCATACTCATCAACAGCATCATCATCACCATCTCTACCAACCATCATTATGATAATCATCATCAGCATCATCATCATCATTATCATCACCGTCTCATCATCATTACCATCATCATCATCACCATCACCATCATCATCATCAGCATCATCATCAGCATCAGCATCATCATCATCAACATCATCATCATACTTCTCCTCCCCCCCTCATCTCTCCGACCTTCTCCTCCTAATTGTCCTCCTCCTCCTCCTCGACCCCCACCCCTCTCCTGCTCCCCTTTGTCCTCAAACTCATCCCTCAACCCTCATCCTCAGCCTTTCTCCCCTCCACGTCGCGCACAAGAAATCGTCGTCGTCCTCATTCGGCGTATGCTCCTCCGTCTGCTCCTCCGTCTTTCTCTCAAGCACTACCCCTCCACGTTCGGCTCCTCCTCCTACTCATCAGCAGCATCATCATCATCATCATCATCATCATCATCATCATCATCTTCATCAGCATCATCATCATCATCATCGTCATCATCATCAGCATATGCACAATCACCATCACCATCGCCAGCATGATCATCATCATCAGCAACAGCATCATCATCATCACCAACATCAGCATCACCCTCTACCCTCATACGTCTCCCTCTCATCTGCCCTGCCACCCCTCCTCCTCCCCCTCCTCCTCCTCGTCCTCCTCCTCGGCATCATCATCATCATCATCAGCATCAGCATCATCATCATCAGCATCAGCATCATCATCGTCACCACCTAGAGTATCAGCATGATGGTGACGATCATCATCATCATCGACAGCATCACCATGATCACCATCAACCACCTCGTCAGCATCACCACCATCATCGACAGCATCAACAATATCGCCATCCTCATCATCGTCATCAACAGCATGATGATCATCATCCTCAACAACATCATACTCATCACAATCATCATCAACATCATCATCATGACCATCGGAATCACCAACCTCAGACTCGTCATCATCAAATTCATCATCAACCTCATAACCATCAATATAATCACAATCACCATCCTCAACATCATCAACATCATCATCACCGTCACCACCACCGACACCCGTCACCAGCATAATCAGCAACGCCATCATTATTACTAGTCCTCCTCCTCTTCCTCCTCTCCTCCTCCTCCTCCCTCGCCCCATCCATTCCCCCCCCCTCCTGCTCTTTCATCACCCCCTCCTCCTCCTCCTCCTCCTCCTCCTCCTCCTCCTCCCCCACATCCTCCTCCTATCTTATCCATCCTCCAAGTCCTCCCCCCTCCTCCAGGTTCTTCATTTGCCCTCTCTCCTCCCGTACACGGAAGGTGCCCGCCCAGTTCCCCAGACTTACTACTGAGGGTGCGGCAATGGAGATGGCATGGGTGGACGGAACTATTCGAACCCCCAAACAGTCACCCATGTGAAAATTAAAGTTTGGTTTTGGGGGCGAGGGGGTGATGAGCTTGCCCCTCACGTGTGTACGTGTTCGATAATGTTGTCCATGTACTGTCTCTTCTTCCTCATCTGTGTCCTCGGCATTCTCCACATTTTCCATATAATCATCCTAGCATTCATACTCACGTACTCCTGCTCACCCTCATCATCACCACTACCACCATAATCATCATCGTCGTCGTCGTCATCATCATGATTCCTATCATCACTCCCATCACCATCCTCGCTACTACCACCACCAACTTCACCATCATCGTCCTCACCGTGGTCATCATCAGTGTCCGCGTCGTCTACATCGTCCGAATCATCATATTCATCCTCAGCATCACAGGTACCATCATCAGCGTCGTCGTCATCGCCATCGTCACCATTATGATCATCATTACCACGCCCAACATCCTCATCACCACTGTTCCCGTCAACATCACCAGCAGCATCGTCATCATAATCATCATCAGCATCGTCGTCCTCATCATCAACATCATCATCAGCATCATCAGTATCAGCATCAACGGCATCAGCATCATCGTCATCATCATCATCGTCACCATGGCCAGCATCACCATCACCACCAGCACCAACGTCATCGTCATCATCATTAGCAGCATCATCAGCAAACTCATTGGCACCACCATCCGCATCAGCAGCATCACCACCATCATCATCACCATCGTGGTCATTATCATCAGGTTCGTCTTCCGCATCATCATCATCATCATCATCATCATCATCATCATCCTCATCATCATCATCATCATCATCATCATCATCATCATCATCATCATCATCATCATCATCATCATCATCATCATCATCATCATCATCATCATCATCATCATCATCCTCGTCATCATCGTCATCGTCATCGTCATCGTCGTCGTTATCAACTTTGCTCTCCCCGCACACACATCAAGACTTCCCCTCATCCCTCCCTCTCCTTCTCCCCGTCTTACTGTCCATTTTCACCATACGCTTCCGTCTCCACCTCCTCCCTCCTCCTACTTCTCTCGCCGATCCCAGCCTTCATCCGTACTCCCTCTTCCCTCTGCTCTGCTCCTTCCTTTCTCCCTCCTCCCTCTGCCCTCACTGCCCCACTCCTCCCCCTCCTCCGCCATCTCTCCCTCCCTCATTCCTCCCTCATTTTTTCAGCCGTCCCCCCTACTCCCATACTCCCTCCTGGCCACCCCCTCCTCTCCTCACTGCTCCCTCACCCCATCTACCTCCTCTGGTCTGGCACTCCTCCTCTGAGCAACCTGCTCCACCCAGTGGGTCGCGCCGCCTGTTTCAGAATCAGAGGTACAAGCTGGGTGTCCTTGTTGCGGATGGCCTCGGCGCGAGTGGTGTGCCGCACGGCACTCCAACCTCTTCCTCCTCCTCCTCCTCCTCCTCTTCCTCCTCCCATTTGTCCGTCTCTTCCACATCTTGTTCCTGCTCCTCCTCTTCCTCATTCTCCCTCCTCATACTGCCTCCTTCCCCTCCCCCCTTCTCCTCGTAGTTTTCTCCCTGACGTCCCGAATGCGAGGCTTGGCCGAAAACGTAGTACGTCACCCCGAACGTCTGGCATGGCCATCAGGTTCCTACGAGCTTTCCAATGCCGTTACCGCACCTGCTGCCAGCCTTGACTTTCATCAAGTGACTATCATTACGGCTTTGTTTACCTAGATGGTTCGTACTGTCTGCGTAATCATTCAAGGCCAGGTGCCCCTGACCGCTCTGTCCCGCTCACCATCGGAGAATCCAACAATCCACCATATTTCCCAGATGGGGTCCTCGCAGTCTCAACTAGCACGGTGCAGCTCTCACACGCGGCTGGCACCCAAGCTCTAGAGCAGGCGCGCGAGGACGAACCCAGAGGGCCCCAGGGGGAAAAGAACTCGAACAGCTGAGGACACCCTGGGCATGGTCACTCCTGCCATCCTGCGACAGAGGCGCAACTGCCGGGGGACACCGGGACACCGAAGCCCCAGAAGCCGATCTCCGCGGCGGCCTTTGCGCAACCTTCGTGGGCGCGCGGCATGCCAGGCCTCCCGAGGATGAGCCCCAAGGTCGGCTCACCACGTCAATCTGCGGCCCCCGCGGGCGCGCGGCACGGACACTCGCGGGCGCGCGGCATAACGGAGCTTCAGACGCAGAGCCCTGAGGGCGACATGCGCGAGCAGCCGCCAGTCGGCGACGGCGACTGCGCCGACGACGACGACGACGACGACGACGACGACGACGACGACAGTGACGACGACGAAGCCGCCGCCGCCGACGACGACGACGACGACGACAGAAGCGCAACACGCTGGAGCTCTACGAAACGAGGTCCTTGGGCGATCTGCGGCCTCAGCGTGCGACCCCTCGCGGGCGCGCGGCGCACTAGAGACCCAGAGATGGGGTCCGGCGGCGAAAAAAGACCTCAGGGTGCAAACCCCACGGGCGCGTGGCGTGAAACTCAAGAGGCGCGGCTACGGGCCGATCTACGACCTCAGAATGCAGGAGGTGATGGGCGCGCACCAAGTCGCAGTTCAAGAGACTTGCGCCACCTAGGGCGTGAATGGACACTCGCTCTCCAAGGCGAAGCTCAGCCCCCTGTCTGGAGGCCTATCTCGGTGGGGATTCCCTTCTCTTGCTACCTTGAGTAAGAAGACGAATCGGTCAGCCCGCGTGGACCCAAAACTATGTGTTTCTAGCAGTATATGTTGTGCGCTCGATGCGGAACAATCTATGTGGTGGAATCGCCGTGGTACGATATAGGTTATAAGTTACACGTGGTGCAATATAGGTGGTGAAAGGATTTGTTACAAATGAGTTGACACATTCCATGCCCTTGCAAACATCCCACCCACCAAGCCGCAACTTGGTTTGCAAAACCCGTGCGGCGGCGATTGCGATGAGTGCTTGGCGTTGGCTGGTGCATCTCTGCGGCCGCGCTAGCCCGCGCATGGTCGCGCGCACATCGGCCAGCGAGTTTGGTGCGACCGGCGCGGCCGCGGTGGCGCTGACCGCTGGGCACTTCCCACCAGACACTACAGTGCGAGTCGATGACTTGGGCGGGCGCTGTATCATGGATGTGCCAACAACGGTACATACGACTATGAATGCAGCAGTGCTGGTGACGATGGTGGCGATAACGATGGCAAGGCCAATGACGGCGCCGATGTTGATCACGCCCGCCGATGAAGATGACGATGTCCTCGCGTCGGCGATGAGGGTTTTGGAAATTATCCTGGCGAAGGACCCAACCATAAGCAATTGTTCGTAACGCGTTGTGGGTGCTGCTTTCGGTGGGGCTCCTTATGAGGCCACGAAGCGCTGCCTTGGGTGGGGGAGCCGCATGCGAACTGCGCCACTGGGGCGGGCCTTCGGTGGAGCTCCCTATGGGGCCACGAAACGCTGTCCTGGGCGGGGCAACCGCATGCGAACTGCGCCACTGGGGCCTTCGGTGGAGCTCCCTATGGGGCCACGAAGCGCTGCCCTGGGTGGGGGAACCGCATGCGAACTGCGCCACGGGGGCCTTCGGTGGATCTCCCCATGGGGCCACGAAGCGCTGCCCTGGGTGGGGGAACCGCATGCGAGAGCAGCCACTGGGGCCTTCGGTGGAGCTCCCTATGGGGCCACGAAACGCTGCCCTGGGTGGGGGAACCGCATGCGAGAGCAGCCACTGGGGCCTTCGGTGGAGCTCCCTATGGGGCCACGAACGCTGCCCTGGGTGGGGGAACCGCATGCGAGAGCAGGGGCACCCACGCCTTGGGTGGGGGACCGCATCCGGTGGAGCTCCCCATGGGGCCACGAAACGCTGCCCTGGGTGGGGGAACCGCATGCGAGAGCACCCCCACTGGGGCCTTCGGTGGAGCTCCCTATGGGGCCACGAAGCGCTGCCCTGGGTGGGGGAACCGCATGCGAGAGCACCCCCACTGGGGCCTTCGGTGGAGCTCCCTATGGGGCCACGAAACGCTGCCCTGGGTGGGGGAACCGCATGCGAGAGCAGCCACTGGGGCCTTCGGTGGAGCTCCCTATGAGGCCACGAAGCGTTGCCCTGGGTGGGGGAACCGCATGCGAGAGCAACCGCTGGGGCCTTCGGTGGAGCTCCCTATGGGGCCACGAAGCGCTGCCCTGGGTTGGGGAACCGCATGCGAGAGCAGCCAGTGGGGCCTTCGGTGGAGCTCCCTATGGGGCCACGAAACGCTGCCCTGGGTGGGGGAACCGCATGCGAGAGCAGCCACTGGGGCCTTCGGTGGAGCTCCCCATGGAGCCACGAAGCGCTGCCCTGGGTGGGGGAACCGCATGCGAGAGCAGCCACTGGGGCCTTCGGTGGAGCTCCCCATGGGGCTACGAAGCGCGCGAGGGGTGCGCCGAGAGCAGAAGCAAAGATGGGGGAGGAGGGAGGAGGGAGGGGGCAGCGGGAGGAGGGAGGAACGCGGGGCGCTGTCTTTTTCAAAACGAGGACCCAACACCACAATATGGTTGGGAACACATCAATTTGAGCGCGCGGCCGACGCGCGCGATTGTCCCGCGTGGTAAATTGACACGGCTCGTGCGCCCCCCCCCCCCGCCAGCGCGCGCGCAACGGCGTCCCGATGAGTTTCGGCATGCGGCGCGGAAGGCCATGTTGGCAGAATTTGATGAACATGTTGAACATCCGATGTAATCCACAAGACCGCGAGCGCAGGAATTCCGGGGAAACTGATGTTGCAAAACCATGTGTTTTGCTATGTTTTCGGAACACTCGTTTTCGGAGGGCGGGGATTACGGGGTGGCGGTCTGGGGGCTTCCTTTTTTTCCAGAATGAGGCTCTCGCCTTAGCGCCGTGCGCATTTGCCCAAACTGGAACTCTCGCCTCAGTGCCGTGCGCATTTATCTGGGGGCGGGGATGCGCGCCGCGCGCGGTGAACTTGTTCGGTTCCTGGATGAGGGGCGCTGGAGAGCGTAGAGAGTGCGAGGAACTACCGCTGCTCATTCCCATTGCCAACCCAGGGCTGTGCGTGGAGAAGGCGAAAGAGCACATGGTGCCCCGACCCCCTGGGGGGAGTGTGCGAGAACGTCAGATGCCCCCTCCTAGCCTCCCTTCTGCACTGTGCGTTGGGAGCATGGGGGGCCGCTCCAAAAACTTCAAGTGCGGTCCACAGGTGGATCCTCCACTTCAGGGGGTGCGGCCCATTGGCTGCCCCCGACCCTTCGCCCCAAGGGCAGGTCAACTGGTGGATTCGCGCCCGAGGGCGGCCTACTGGCGGACCCTCCTCTCCCGAGGTGCCCACTCTGAACCAGCCGCGCCAGGGAATGCACACTGGTGGACCAGCCGCTCCACGGATGACCGACAGGTGGGCTTTCCACCCCTGGAGCGGTCCACTGGTTGACCCCATTTGCAGGCCGCCTCTCGTGCGCTGCGCGCTCACGTATCCATGTATATATATATATATATATATATATATAAGGAGAGAGAGAGGGAGAGAACAACAAGGAGAGAGAGAGAGAGTGAGTGAGTGAGAGAGAGATAACATACAGAGATAGAGAGAGGAGGAAAGAGAGAGAGAGAGAGAGGGAAAGAGAGAGAGAGAGAGAGAGAGAGCGAGAGAGCGAGATATAATACACAAAAGACGACAGAGAGATAAGGAGAGAGAGAGAGATAGAGAGAGAGAGAGAGAACGAGATGTCTTCGCGTCGTTCTGGCCATTGCGACGTCGACGTGCGCACATGCTTCGGCATCTCCATCGTCGCTTGGCGGATTCCTCGAGAAGAAACCTATCGGGCCCTCTTCTAGCTTGATCTCGGGCGGGCCCGCGCACCAGCGATCAACCGCGAAGAAATTGGAACGGCTGGGGCCGCGGCGCAGTCAATCATCATGCCTCTTCGTTGCTTCATCAGATGCCAAATTGGGTCGAGCCACCAGTGCCCTGACATTGGCGATCGGAAGCGTAATGCAGGGGTAGTGCTCGCCACCTGGGAGAGACTGAATCACGCGCATACCTTTGCCAGCCACGCGGCCGCAGCAAGGCCCGCCCCGTCCGCGGCGAGGCTCTCTGCCCAAAGTCCCCGCCCCTTCGCTGGCCCAATAATTCCATCATCCACATGTGGCCAAATAAACGCACAAAGAGGGGGGCATTTCATCGGCGCCTCAGTCGGGTCAGTATGCCTCCGCGCAAAGAGTCACCAGTCAGACGCCCTGGTTACGTCGGCCCTCTAAGTGCTGCGCGACATGAATCTCTTCCTGAATGCGCCAAAGGACCGAAAATAAGGCCCACGCCGAAACGGAGGCGCGCTGTCGGCATTCTCGGCCATCCACGCAGGGAGGGAACACATTGCTTTCATGAAACAAGACATGCCTGCCTTCGATGTTGTCACGAT